CCGGCCCAAGCCTGTTTGAAGGTCACCAGTGAATCGCTGTAGTAGAGGTGGGCTTGGCTGCTGTCAGAGCTGCCGGGGTGCGAGACCAGCCACAATGGCAAACATTGAGGAGAGCAAGAGGAGGCTTCCACGCCTGTTGAACCACCCGCAGGAAGAATAATTTCAATTATATCTCCCTTTGGGAAGGGACACATTTAAGTGGCAGAAAGGCTCTGTGCATGGCAGCAATCTGGTATTAACTCCCTGCATCCAATAGGCGTGAAATTGAATCCTGTCACATGCGTGGTGGGAGCAGAACACTGCCCAGCCCTGCCTGCGCAGGCAGAAGGGAGGCTCCTCGCTCCCCTCCCGGCTGCCGGAGCCACCAGCCTGCAGGAGAATTCCCGGCTGTTCTGCCAGGTCCCATCCCCAGGAGGGATGCGGTGAGGCTGTGCACCGCCGCGTGCTTGCCATCCCGCTGAGCAGAGTTACGAATGAAAGCGGAGTGTTTCCAGATGCAGGCACCAGGAAAACCAGCTTATTTGTTTGAAAAGAGATTTACATACCCGGCTAATAAACTTGGAAGTATAATAAATGGAGTTCCCTGACTTCCCTGAGAGCACTGGAGGGGACCACAGAGCATATTCCTGACACCCAGCTCCTGCGAAGGCATTGCGGTTCAGGGGGGATGATGGGGAGCCCCGGGGGTCGCCAGCCCTGGTACCCCCCGCAGCAGGGATCGTGCATTGCCTGGCCTGGTGACGTGCACCGGGCAGCACACGGGCCTGCCTGGCTCGCCCGCTCCGGCGTTCGATTCTCCATCAGTTACAGGTGTGATGTCCCAAAGAAAGCGTCTGCCAGCAGAACAGCCGGGTCCAGGCTCTACGAACGCTGCAGTCAGCGGCGGGACGGCTTTGGACACTCTCAATCCTGAATGATAAGCAACCTGCAAATGAAGGAGCTCTTTACAGAGATCATTTCTCTGATGAAGGCTCTCCGAAGGCACATCCATTGGAAGAAAAGAGCACGCTTTAATTATGCTAATTAGAAACTTGGCAGCCTCAGTTGCTTGGTGCTTCTCTGATGTGGAGGCACTTCCCCTTCCCAGTGTCTGCCTTCCTCAGAGAGGGACGGAGGCAGCCGGCTGCCAGGGGAGCACGGGTGCAGGGGTGCTGGGGGGTTACCCTCAGCACCGGCCTGATCCAGGCTCTGAGGTGCACTCAGGCGAAGGACGCCCACCATCCGCAGGGCTCTGGGCTGGCAGCACCCTCCCTTCTCCGAGGGCGACGTGGACATCCCGAGGGGATGCCCTCTGCAAGGCACAGAGCACTCGGCAGCCCCGAGCTGGGCTGGCAACATTTTCATCTCGGCAGCAAAGCTCACCCCACAGGCACAGCACCCTTCCCAAAGCCATGCTTTCCTCCCTGCGGGTGCCATCCTTTACAGCAGCAAACGGCAAAGCTTTTGTGCTGAAAGCAGATAAATGTGGCTAAAATACAGGGGCGAAGAGAATAACTCTTGTCCTCCTACTCCAGGCTATAAATTGCTGTGGGCCTAAACTTGACTGACCTGGCCAGTGGTTACGTGTCTCCTGTGCATTTGGGAGCGGGCAAGGAACAGGCATTTTCACACCCCGCGCTGTACATGCGCAGTATTTATTGCAGGCCAGCGCTGACAGATGGCTCATTCTCACCACCCATGAGCATTGCTCTGCTCCTGCTCCGGCTGCTTCAAGGGCAAACAATTCTCTGGACTCAGCCTGAAAAGCTCCAGTCCAAGCATCATTTTTCCCTGGTTTGTTGTTAAAGGGTGTGCAAAGCCATTTCAATTGACGGAGCAATTTCCCTTGTGTCCCGCAAAGCAAAAGGAAAAAAAAGAAGTCAGTGTATTACACACAAATCTGCTTTTCTTTTGCAAGTTTAAATAGTAACAGCTTAATGTTCAGCAGACCCACTGTAATTCCAAATCAAAAGCTCAGTGTCAAAGGAATCGTTTTGCTGCAGCCACCAAATAATGAGCAATTTATGTAGCATTTTGAGATTAGATTAAAAATTAACCACAAACCAACATCTCATCCAGCAAGTGTTTGTAGGTGAGACTTCAGAGGCCGAAGGTGATGACAATGCTAAGCAGGGCTTGACTCCTGGCATGGGTGCTGGGTGCCCTTCAGGGTGTCCCTCCCCACCGGTGCCACCGGCCGGCTCTGCGCCGGGTGAGCCGGGGTCCCCTTACCTGCAGACGCCACACGCTCGCGGGCGCTGGCATGTCCCCCCAGTGCCGTGTGCTGCAGGGAAGGAGCAAAGGGGCGACCGAGCTGCGATGCTGCGGGAGGAAGCCATGCTGCGATGCTCTTCCTGCTCGTCTGTCTGCCTTCCCCCCCCCGATCCGTGTCCTGCTCGCTATCTTACAGCCCTGTACCCCACGTTTCCATTCCCTCCCACGGCATGGACCCACTCTGCCTCCCCGGCTGCCTGTGCCGCAGGAACTGCCTGCCCAGGGCCGCGGGATCCCGGCTTTCCCGCCATATCAGTGCTGCCGCCGCGCTGAAGTTTAATCAGATTATATTGGCTTTGTCCCCG